CTCCCCCTGACTCCTGATTCCTGATGACTGGAAAAACTTCGTTCGTAGCCCTCCTCCTCTTCCTCCTCCTCCTCCTCCTCCTCCTCCTCCTCCTCCTCCTCCTAAGGAGGCGAATGTATCCATGTCCACGCCCTCGCGATCTGGGACTCCAGGGCGCAATCCCGCAAATGCGCAATCGCACGGGTGCGCTCCGTGCGGGGCATCCGCGAGAAAACGCCCCGAGAGCGGCGGGATCGCGGCCCCGGGGCCTGGCCAAGAGGCCGCGCATGCGGAGGTGTTTCGCCCACGGTTCTCCCCACTCCACGGCGCGAGGAAGGCCACGAACCGAGGCGTCGGAAAGGCAAACCCTGCGAGGATCGCAGGCTGGCCTGGATGCTGCCGCGGCCGCCAAGCAGCCGCGCAGCCGCGGGGTGAGAACCGGGCGCTGGCGGCTCGGGCAGATCATGGTGCATCTTCGGCGTGCCTCGTCTCCCGTCGCGCCCCTGTCCGCGTCGAATCCGTGCCGAACTCGACGGGTCCCCGTGGACTCCACGCCGGGTCCGCCTCGGCCAGCCCCCCGCCCGCACCGAGAGGGGGGGGCAGGCGAGATACCCCGAGGACGCACCGCAGAGCGAGGGCGGGAAAGCAGAGCCTGCGGGGCAGGATCAGCAGGCATCGACTCGGGAAATCGGACCGAATTGGAACTGAGGGACACCGAGGAAACTGAGGGTCAGATAGAATGGAACTGAGGATCGACATCGGATCGAACAGGAACTGAGGGGCGAGAATAGCCCAGGGGAGAGCGATACACGTGTGCTCAGGTGCGCCGACGACCTATGCCCTCGAGAAGGCCCCCGGGCGAATGCGTGCAGTGCCCGCCCCTGCGCTGTGCGCCCCCGTCGTCGCCCCCGTCGTCGCCCCTGTCGCCCCCCTTGCAGGCCCGGCGAGGCCCCCCGCGGGCCGAGAGAATCGCCACGAAGGGCCTGCCGCCAACACTTTTGTGCCGCGGCGAGCGAAGGGGGGGAAGTGCGAAGGCAAAGGCCTCCTCGGAGGGCGGCGGGACGTCTCAGAAGCCCCCGCGCCTGCGGAGAAGTTGTTTGCTTGTCTCCGGGGAAGGCGTCGTAGGACACTTCTCAGAAGGCGGCGGGCCTTCTCAGAAGCCCCGCGCCTGCTGAGAAGTTGCTTGCTTGTCTCCGGGGAAGGCGTAGGACACTTCTCAGAAGGCTGGGGGGACTTCCGAACCTCCTCTGAGAAGGCCTTCTCCTTCTCAGCCCCCCCCCCCGCTCGCCGCCGACTTTCCTCTGAGAAGGCCTTCTCCTTCTCAGTTTCCCCCCCCCCCGCTCGCCGCCGACTTCTCTCTCTCGCGACGCGGATGTGTGTTCGTGCGGGGCCTGCAGGGAGGCCTGTCCGCACGCGCAGTGCCCGGGCGCGGAGGGCCCTGGGGCATGCCGCCAGCCCGATGTGCAGAGGCTCCAGGGGGGGGCCCGCTCGGGGGGGGGACATCGATGAGGGGGCCCCTGGGGCACGCAAACACAGAGAGAGAGAGAGAGAAATACACATAAACAGCAGGACTCCCCATATTCCCCCAATTTTCGGTGTTTTTGTCTTCCCCCCCACTTCCCATATTTTCTATATTTTCCTGAAGATCGACGATTCATTGTGTCTGTGTGTTTTTCCCCTCCTGAATCGACCTGGTGTCGGCGATCTGCCCCTGGAAGCGAATCCGCACGCTCCAGGGCCGGGTGAGCGGCTTGGCGAATGCTGCCACTGCGGTCTCAAGCTTCCCTTCTCCCGACGACACGTGAGCCACGCCGGCTTCGGTACAAGCACTCCTGGGGGAGGTCGCCCAGTTGAGGTTGGGGACCTCGGCGAACTCAGCACGGCGAAACCTCAGCAAGCAGCCGGCCCGACCGGCGCCAGCGACGGCGGAGGCGCGCCCCGCTTCTCGCTCCAGGTGGGCCAGCGGGCCCCCCCAGCGTTAGGTCGGGCAGGTTCTCCTGCAGGCGGATCTTGGACGAAAAATGAAGAATTATCAAAACATGCCCCAAATAATAAAAAAATGAGAGGAGGAATCGTTCCCCGACCATGTTTGGACTATTGCTAGAGATTCCTCCTGTAGAGGGACACGCCCGACTTGGCCCTGGCGGCGACGGATGGGCGATGGCGGGTCGACGCGTCCCCGCTGCTGCCATGCACCCCTCACGCTGCCCCCCGGTTTCGGGCCGCACCTCGGCTCTGCGGCGGCCCTTCGGGGGACGATCTGGGCACCCCCGGAACGCCCTCGGCGAGGCGCAGCTGCCAGAACCGAAGCAACCGACCGAACACCTCGATCCTGACCGACTCTTCCCCCGACTCCCGGACCCCCGACACGCCATGATCTGTCCGCAGTGTGGACTCCCGACAGGTCTTGGACCCCTTCCTCGAGACTGGTTCTCCATCCTCAGCCATTGTTTGACACTCCTGGGGCCCGATGCCCGAGAAGGGGCACCCAGATGCAGACCATTGTCAAAGAGCTCCCCTCGTGGCTTTTGGTCACGACGCGAGGGGTTCTGGGCTGACTGGGTTGCCCGAGGTCTCGGCGATTTCTAGATCCGCCACCGTGCGTATCGTTGACCGATCCGCATCCCCAGCGGCGTGGCAAGGGCCCCACTGGCCGAGTTGCCCCCCTAGATGGGGATATAGGTCGTTCCCTTTGGGTGTCGAAGGGTGTATCCCCAACTGGGGGGGTAATTTAGTGGGGGTCTCCAAGGGGATGGGGTGGGGATGGGGGTCGGTTGAACGATACTGACACCGTGCCTCTGGCACGAAGTGGAGCTCTCCAAGGCTCACAGCCGTGCTGCTGCTGCAGCCAGGATTGTAGATCCTGACGGGCACCCCAGCCCTCTGAGAAGCCTCTGGGGAAGGCCTCGAGTACCTCTCAGAAAGTCGGGGGACTTCCGAGCCTTCTGAGCAGGCCCGCCACCCCCTCACTTCCCGCCTGGGCTCGCCGCCGACACGAAAACCCCCTGACCTTCCCTGGTGCTAACCATAGCCCCCCAGACCTATAGACCTCCCAAGGCCACCCACATTCTCGACGGGAACTTGGCCGTCAGGGGTCCTGGTGCTCTTGGTGAAGCCCTCTGTGAGGCCAGGGCCCCTGCCAAGGCCGGGGCCCTCCGCGCCGCTGCGGGCGCCCCCCCTCCTCGGGGATCTTCTGACCCGGGTCAATCCAGACCCGGGTCAGCCAGGCCTTGCAGCATCCTGCAACATGCTGCAAGATCCTGCACCCAAGCCCGGGTCGACGCGAAGGGACCTGCAAAATCCTGCAAGATCCTGCACCCAAGCCCGGGTCAATGCGACCCGGGCCCTGCAGGATCCTGCAAGATCCGGCGCTCTGGATGACCCCAGTTTGCATTGACCCCCGTCTCAAGATGCACGATTTCCCCCTCGGGGCCGTAGGCGACCCGAGGAGGAGGAGGAGGAGGAGGAGGAGGAGGAGGAGGAGGAGGAGGAGAAGGAGGAGGAGGAGGAGGAGGCAGAAGATAAAGGAGGAGGGAGGAGGGAGAGGAGGAGGTAGAGGAAGGAGGAGGATGATGAGGAGGAGGAGGTAGAGGAGGAGGAGGAGGAGAGGAGGAGGAGGATGAGGAGGAGGATAGGAGGAGGAGGAGGAGGAGGAGGAAGGAGTGGAGGGGAGAGGAGGAAATGGAGGAGGAAATGGAGGAGGAGGATGGAGGGAGGAGGAGAGGAGGAAGAGGAGGAGAAGAAGGAGAAGAGGAGGAGGAAGAGGAGGAAGGAGAAGGAGGAAGGAGGAGCAAGATGAGGAGGAAATGGAGGAGGAGGAAATGGAGGAGGAGGAGGAAGATGAGGAGGAAATAGAGGAAATGGAGGAGGAGGAAGAGATGAAGGAGGAGGCCTCCCGACCTCCTGCGCCCCCCCCCGGGCCCCTCTGCGCGTGGGCTCCCGATCGGGGAGGCGCCCCGCGCCCCGCGGGGCGCCCCGTGAGCGTTGGGGGCGCCCCGCGCCCGGCCCCCGGCAGGGCGACGGGCGCCCGCTCAGTACTTGACGTCCCCGTCGGCCTGGGCGGGGCCGCGGGAGGACTCCTCCGCCCCCTCCTCCTAGCTCCCCCTCCTCCTAGCTCCTCCTCCTCCTCCTCCTCCTCCTTTCTCCTCCTCCTCCTCCTCCTCCTCCTCCTGATCCTCCTTTCTCCTCCTCCTCCTCCACGTGTCTTCTCCTTTCTCCTCCTCCTTTCTTCTCCTCCTCCTCCTCCTCCTCCTTGCTCCTCCTCCTCCTCCTCCTCCTCCTTTCTCCTCCTCCTTGCTCCTACACCGCGGGGATTCCACCTACGCCACGCAGGGAGGGGCAGTGTAAGACCGTTCGGCCTCTCGCGCTAACGCTGACCAAGGGAGAGCATCCCGTGGAACGGCAGCATTGTTTGGGAGGTTTGGGAGAACACCTCCTTCTGTCAATTGCCACGTGGCCCTGGGCTTCAGCGCCACCTGGCGCCTTCGGTTCCCGCGCTCGGGGCATCTCCCCCCCCCAAAGGATGTCCTGTCTGGTTTGCGCGATTACTCATGCTATGCCCGTTGTCCGTCCATGGAATTGCGGAGTGCCCATGTAGGAGCGATAGGGTTGGGGTGGCATCACCCGGCTGACTAAGGAACAAGTTACTGGGCAAGCTAAGGGACACATTCGGTGGATAATCTGAGCGCCCCTGTGGGGCGGTGCTCAGAACAAGCTGCCTGTCGCCAGGAGAACGGTCTCTGGGAGGACCATGGGGCTTCCCCAGGTACTGGGTCACCTACACTCACGCATCGCGCCCCGCGATACGCGATTGTCTTCGCGCCCTCACGCCGCCCCCCTGGAGAAGGGCGGCCGCTCTGGCCAAGACCGCGTCGCGCGAAGCGCGACTATCCTTGCGATACCGCGGGGGACCTACCCGCTCCGAAATGTTCGCTGACGGTCCTGGGGCCAGGGGTCCTCAAGAGCCGAAGAACAAGGAAAAAAGTTCAGGACCCCTGTCCCTCAGGAACCCCTTTACTCAGGGTGATCCATTTATAGGTTTAGGTCGGGCATGTCCCCCTACAGGCGGACTTTGGACGAACACTAAAAAAACACAAAAAACATACATGACACTAAATAGAAAAATCGTCCCCAGACAATTTTTGACTATTTTGGAATATCCCCCCCTGTAGAGGGACAGCCTGATTTAATTGTAGGTCCCAGAACACCCGGAGCCCCGCAGGGCCTCCCTGGCACTCCCTGGATGCCTCTGGACGTCCGGGGCATCCCCCAAGGGGCGAAACATGTTCCAATCGACGTCCGAGCATACCCTCGATCCTTGCCCACATACTTCCGATGTGTTCTGCGGAGGACGAGGTCCCATTACGGGTGGAGAACATATCCGGTGGACTCCCAAGCCTAGGGGCCTCGCAACTGGGGTCCGCGTGGACGCGGTCGGAAGATCACGTCGTATCGCCGATGCATCGGCGACGTCGGCGGTGCATCGACGACGTCGGCGCGGAAGAGATCTGGCTCCACATTCGGCCGCAGCACTGGTGCACCGGCGATGCGCCGTAATCCTCCGACCCCAGCTGCGCGGACCCCAATTGGGGAGGCCTGGAGCCCAGGCGTGTGCTGCCCTCGTGCATTTCTCCAGCACGGGGTGCCCTGAGGTCCCGACCCTCTCCCCAGGGCCGGCTCCTCATCCCGAGCTTCAGGTCGGGCATGTCTCCTCTACAGGCGGATGCTGGTTGATAACAATAGTATAAAAAAAACGCCAACATACACCAAACACTGCAAGCGCAGAAAAAAACAAATACTCAACGAAATCGTCCCCCGGGCATTCTGTAACTGTTCTTGAGCATTTCTCCAGTAGACAGGGACGCGCCCGACTGAACCCGAGCCGCGGGGTTCTGGTGCCCTGGGGCCCAGGCGAGAGCCGCCAGAGGCCCCAACAACAGGACCAAGAGAGAACCTCCCGCCGTGAGCTATTTCCACGGCGCGAGGCCGCGCTCCCACGGGCACGAGCACGGGGCGGCCTCGCGGACGCCAAGGCCGCTCTGACGGCCAGCTCGGTCAAAGGTGCGGTTGGAAATCTGGTTCTCGTGGCACCGAGCTCACGCAGAACCAAACGCTGGAAATCACAAAAAGGGCCGTCTCCCACACCTCGAGTGTGCCAACATGTGCCGAACGAGAACGACGCAGGGCCGACCCTTTTCCCCAGGGCCGGCTCCTCCTCCCGAGCCTTGGGTCGGGCACGTCTCCTCCACAGTCGGGCTGCTGACCGAAGGAACGATGAACAAGGAACGCAGCCCCTTTTTGGCCCCACAGGCGCCTGCGTGCACGAGGAAGGCTAGAGGTAGGGGGCCCTCAAAGGACGTACGCGCCCAACTATGTACATGAACACGGCCCCTTGACCCGCGAGACTGGCCGCGTGATACGAACATTCGCGCCATGCGAACTCTCGAAACCAGCGTGGATCCATGCACGTGTGCGCCCTTCTTTCGCTCCCGAAGAGGAAACGCCCCAGAAGGACCCAAGGAATATCGAGCCCCTTTCGTGCCCGAGCCGTTCCTCCTTTCAGCGACCTGGCTCCACACGGGCGGACGTCGGCCGACGAGAGGCAGAAACCAGGAGAGCCCATAATCGAATCGATAGGTCGGATCGGCAATCGGCACGAATCGGATCGGCAGAAATCGGTAGCCGAGTCGGGGAAAGTCGAGTCGGTAGACATCGGCAAGCTAATACGCCTTCAATGAGGAATCGGAACTCAAATCGGAATCCCAAGTCGAACCGAATCGGAATCGGAAGCCACCGAAGTCGAATCGATTCGAATCGGAGGGATCGAAACAAGCCCTGCTCAGAACCCCCCGCAGAGCGCGGAGCGCAGCCACGAGAGCGCCCCAGCGCGCGGGGGGGCCTCGCGCGCCCCCGGGCGTGCGCGCCGGCGGCCGCACGCCCCCCCCCCCCGCGGCCCCCCGGCAGGGCCGCTGGCCGCCGTGCCCAGCCGCCGTCGGCCGACGCCGCCCGATGGGTGCAGGACAGAGCCCAGGATCGGGTCGGGCCTGTCCCCCGTACGGCAGGTTCGCGTCGTGTCGACCCCAGCGTTGGTTTCTGACACCGCGGGGATCGTTCAACCTTGAACGATCGGCCGTTTGCGAAACGTCCAAATCGTTCCACATCGAAAGATTCTGGGCCGCCGTCGGCGTTCAACCTTGAACGTCGGCGGCGGGGTCGCCGCCGGTCGACACTACGCGAACCTACCGTACTCGAAGGCCGATTTCTGACCACACCCACCTCTGGACCCTCGATTCTACCGTAGTCCCTCGGGGGTGGAAGTGGGCAGTTTTTCCTTCCCCTGAGGCGGGGAAACTGCCCACCTCCACCTCTGGAGACCGCTTTTCGCAAGGCACCTCGGGAAGTGGGTGTGGTCAGAAATCGGTCTCCTACATACAGGGGGATTCTGGGAGAAAAAATAAAACACAGTTAAAACATGCCCCCCCCGAGTGGGAGAGAGAGTCAAAAGATCGTCCCCAGACTATGTTTGACTATTTACATACTCAGGTTCTGCCTAGAAGGGTTCTTACCCTGTATGCTTAAAGGGCCAGGCAGTGCTGCCCGCCCCGGGCGGTTCCCCCAGGATCCGCCCCGTGGTTCCCCCAGTCCCCTGGGAGCTTTAGCTTTAGCTCTAGCTCTAGCTTCAGCTTTAGCTTCAACTTTAGCTTAGCTTTAGCTTAGCTTTAGCTTTAGCTTAGCTATAACTTAGGTTTAGCTTAGCTTTAGCTTAGCTTTAGCATAGCTTTAGCTTAGCTTAGCTGTAGCTTAGCTTTAGCATAGCGTTAGCTTAGCTTTAGCTTAGCTGTAGCTTAGCTTTAGCTTAGCTTTTATATTAGAGGTAGCTTAGCTTTAGCTTAGATGTAAAGTATGAGTACCTTAGTTTTAGCATATCGTTAGCTTAGTTTTACAGTAGCTGTAGCTTAGCTGTAGCTTAGCTTTAGCATAGCGTTAGCTTAGCTTTAGCATAGTGTTAGCTTACCTTTAGCTTAGCTGTAGCTTAGCTTTAGCTTAGCTTTACTGTTACTACTAGTGCTGCTTTCCTAGGGGCTCCAACTCCTAGGTAGGGTCGCACTGGGATAAGTTTGATTGTTCCTGATGTAGAGGCACAGGCCCGACTCACGCCCAGCCGGGGCCAGTGGAGGTCGTCGGCCGACGCCGCCCGATCGGTGCAGGACGGGGCCAGGGCGAGGACAGCAGCGGTTGGCGGCGCGCACGAGGTCGGGGGCGCGCAACGACTCGCCATCGCTCGGACGTCCATTCCCTGTGTTTTTGTTCGGTTTCGTGCGTGATTTTTTTCGCCAAATGGTCAAGGATGCTCCTCGATGGTTTCCGCCGAGAAAAAAAAGGCACACGTCCGAGCGATGCCAGGAAGATGGATTAGCGATCCATGGATTTGGCGAGCAATGCATCGGGGGCGCGCAACGACTCGCCATCGCTCGGACGTCCATTCCCTGTGTTTTTGTTCGGTTTCGTGCGTGTTTTTTTCGCCAAATGGTCAAGGATGCTCCTCGATGGCTTCCGCCGAGGAAAAAAAAGGCACACGTCCGAGCGATGCCAGGAAGATGGATTAGCGATCCATGGATTTGGCGAGCAATGCAGGCGGTGCCGCCTCGCTCGGCGGCGGAGGTCCGCGATTTACAGTGGAAACGGGACCCGTCGCTAATCCACGCCCCCTTGATCCAGGTTTGCGATCGCCTGACAAAGGGGGAGGGGGGAGGGGGAGGGCTTCTTAGAGGGAGGCTGCTTCTCAGAAGGCGCCAGCTTCACATCTACAGGCACGGCCAGCGCCTTCTAAGAAGCAGAGGTGCTTCTAAGACGTCCTCCCCCCTTCCCCCTAACCCCCTTCTGCGCGTGGCTGACCGACGCCGCCCGATCGGTGTAGGACAGAGCCAGGACGAGGATGATGTTGCTCCCATCGTACTTAAGGACCACATTCCAGAAAAAAAGTCGAGCACCCGGAAAAGTCTCGAAAGCGTGTCGGACGAGGTCTCCCAGGACCCGACACGTGAAAACCCTCGAGTTTCGGTACTCTTTTGGTGCTCGAAGTTCTTTCTGGTGATCAGGGCTGAAGTAGGTTGCAACATCATAAGACGAAGATAACATCGGGTGAGGGTGAATCGAGACACTCTGAGATACGGCGGCTCAGGGGCGCCGCGGCCTTCTCGGAGCATGCTGGAGCACTCTGGGGTGGATCTGTCATCGCCCTAGCCGCGTCCGACCAGTGCCCGGGCAGGAGAGCCCAGGATCGAATCGACAAGTCGGATCGGCGATAGTCAGGCCAGCGAGACTTCCATTGAGGAGTCGAAATCCAGATCGGAAGTCGAGGTCGAATCAAACCGAACAGCGGAATCGGTCGGACTCGAACCGACTCGAGAAGGAGGAGTCGAAAGGAGCCCCGCCAAGACCGCGAGGACGTGAATGTGGATACCTTACTCGCTCACTGCTCCACTCCAAGGAGAAACTGCGACCACCGCCACCGAGAATCCATCGGGGGGGGCCACCCCTGGGAAGTGGCACGCGTGAGCGTCGCCCGGTAAACGCGAGGGGTCCTCAATGCTGCGCGCCTCCCACCGAAAAGCTCTCGGCTGGAAATCAAACTCGTCCTTCCCCCCCCCCTCGTCCCTCCACTCCTCGCCCTTCTCCTGGCTCTCCCTCGCTCACCCTCCTCCTCGTCGTGCTCCCCTCCTCGCGAATTTCCCCCCCCCCCAGTCGGCTTTCCCCCGATGGGCCCTCGGTGGCGGCCCCTGGTCCTCCTCGGATCCCACCCCCACCCAGGGCTCCCCCAGAAGTAGGGTAGCCCAGAAGTGGCAACCTCGGCGGTGCAAAGGTGGGGTCCTGAAGGATGGGTCCCAAGGACGAGGTGCCTCAAACCGGTGTACGTCCACGCTCGAATCCCTCCCTACCCGTAGGATTGGGTCGGGCATCTCCCCCCTAAAGGCAGATTTTGGGCGAATAATGAAACACACTAAACAAATACTCCCCAAAAATCAAAAAATGGTAGAATAATCGTCCCGAGACTATTTTTGTACTATTCTTGAAAATTCCCCCTGTAGAGGCACACGCCCGACTTGTCCCTGGGACCCCGCCCCTCAGGACCCCATCCTGGAGCCACCGAAGACCACGGTCCCGCAGTGCGGTCCGGGCCCGCCGGCTGGGCGGCCCACAAAGTAGGAGCCGACGACGACGACCACCACGACGAGCAGGAGGGCCCCCAGAGCGTACCTGAGGCCATCGGCGGCGGGATGGGTCGGGTCGGACGAGAGGAGAGGACAGTGCAAGGCGGAACCTGAACGGTGCTTTTCGTTTTCGTTCTGCTTTCGTGTTCCCTCGTTTTGTCTTCAATCCGCCTCTACCGCAGAACGGAGTCGAAACGAAAACGGCCCACGCAATCGCCAAAACACCGTTTAGGTCCACCCCGTTTAGGGCCAGGTCGGACGAGAGGAGGAGGAGGAGGAGGAGGAGGAGGAGGAGGAGGAGGAGGAGGAGGAGGAGGAGGAGGAGGAGGAGGAGAAGGGAGGAGGAGGAGGAGAAGGGAGGAGGAGAGGACAGCAGAAGGGGGGGGAGCATCGTGCCTCCGCCCGCGCAGCTGCTCCCCTCCCGGGCGCCTCCCGGCGCCAGAGGCGACCCCGCGCATCGAGGGCCGGGGCGTGGCGGCGGAGCCGCAACCCGCTGCACGCAGGAGGCTTCGTATTTCCCCCCCCCTTTCGACGAACGGACAGCACACACCCATACTCGGCGGTGGACAAACCTACAGTTCGCAAACCTCCCCATCAATGAGAACGGCCTGGGACCGAAACCGACGGACCTGGAGCCGCAAGAATGACGGCCGCGACGTCCTCTCGCGAACCGAAAACGGCCAATTCGCGAATCGACGTGTCAGGGTAGGAGGTCTGTCCACCCCCGACCATACCCATAAGCGGGGGTCGTTGGGAGGAGGACTGGCTATGGGTATGGGTGCGGGTTGTCGGACCCTGGGGACGCTCCCGTTCGAGCGGGGACCCCATCCGACAACACGCACCCATGACCCTCTCCGACACCCCTATGGATATGGGCGTGCGTTGTTGACTCGTCACCTCTCCTGACATCCCCCCCTTCCTCCGCTCATGCACTGCGCGGCCGAACTTAGACAGCGCCGGGCTCCGCCCCCGAGAAGCTTCGACAGTCCTGCGGGGCTTCCCGAGGCCGCCTTGGGTCTCCAGAAGCCTCCAAGGGCCTCCAGGGGCCCGCGCGGAGGCCTCCCTAGAGCAGCGGGGGCCGTGGAGCCCTCGAGGGAGGACGGGTGAAGGCAGGGGGAAGGGAGGGGAGAGGGGGGAGCAAGGACTCTGCCGATCCCGATGGCGGGCCTTTCCAGGACGGGTCTTGTTGCAGGCATTGGATCGGCGACTACGTACTTCCCGATCATCGGGCAGTCCAGCCCGCAGCGTCCATCGAGCCCATGCTCGAGCTTCGGGCACGGGGACGATGGGCAATCCTGGGCAACCCTGCCATGAGAAGGACCCGCGTGCCAGAGCGAATTCGCGGGGCCCCCAGGGGAAAGAAGGATGAGGAGGATGAGGAGGATGAGGAGGAGGGGGCGGAGGGGGCGGAGGAGGAGGAGGATAATGGGGAGGAGGAGGAGGATGAGGATGAGGATAAGGAGGAGGAGGAGGAGGAGGACGAGGAGGAGGGGGAGAAGGCGGCAATTGTCGAAGATGCTTTCTCCACGCACGGGTTAATCATTAATTTCAGACGAGGTAGGACAGAAGCGCTGTTCAGATTCGCGGGCTCCCAGGGTCCGTTGAGGCACGGGAGCAGCTTGTCACTGACCGCGGGGGCATCATCCACGTTGACGCTCGCAGCGTGCAGCGCCGGCTGGTCGCCACGGCGCAGTATGAACGTGTTGGTACGCTCACTTGCTCCACGGATTCCATGCACCCCGAGATCACGGCCAAGATCGGTGCTCTGAGGGGCGCTTTTCCAACAACTGCGCTGCACCGTTCTGCAGCGGATCTCTGTCCCGGTGGAAACACGGCTTGCGTTTGGGCCAGGGGGTGGTGTTTACGCGAGATCTTCACCAGGCGAGTACGTGACCACAGTTGCACGCTGCTGAGCTGATGAGAATCAACACGGCTGTGATGCAAGCGTACTCCTCCGTCTTGAAGGAGGATCCGCGAGACCCTCGGTGTCCTTATCACGACTACATTGCTGAGCACGAGTGCTTCGTTGCACCTGCGATCATGATATTGTGCTTGCGCGTCGGGCTCTTCAGCAGAGTTTGTTTGCATGCCCCGCGAACGCTGTGCGCTGTGCTGTCTCAAACAATTGCGGTCCGCAGGTCCTGGATGCATTCCGCTTCCGAGGACTTAAGCATGTTGACATCTAGTTCTTGTGCGTTGTCAGGAATACGCGGCAAAACCGATCAGAGAATGGGTTCCCGTGATCCGGGCAAACCCGAAACGCTTGAGGGCTGCACTGAGAGATGCCTGGGAAGAGCGTGGTTTCAATGGGGTGAGGACTTGGGCTAGAAGCCGGCGGATAGCCGAGGTGAATGACACATGTTCGTGCCACTTGTGTTCGCAAACATGCAGCTCGAGGCAGAAGTTGGCCACCCATGCGTTCTCTTTGCATGGTGTGCGGCGCCGCACTCGCGAGCTCATCGATACAACGCATTGTCCAGCGTGTACGCAATGTCTCCACACTCGCGTTCGAATGGTGACCCATTTGGAGGAGAAGTCGGACACATGCCGTTTTGTAGTCATGTCTACTTTCAACAGGTTGCCAACGGACGTCGTTACCGAGCTCGATCGGAAGGATGCTAAGGACGCCCGCGATGGGGCCAGAAAGGGTCAAAGACCGCACCATGCTGACGCTCCTGTTAGCCGCGTGGAAGGTCCGTTGACCTTGGAAGCGTCTGAGGCTGGCATGAGACAGAAGTCTTTCCCCTCCTCACTCCTTCTGTCTGGTGAGCCAGGGGGCGCGAACACAGCAACGAAATCCTCCTAAGGAGAGTCGGTGCACGAACTGTTCTTCTCCTTGCCGCTACGCCTTGCTTGTGTTCTCCCCGCACGCGCACGTTCCAAGCTGCTCGGAAGCGAAACGAGGGGGAGGAGGAGGAGGAGGAGGAGGAGGAGGAGGAGGAGGAGGAGGAGGAGGAGGGAGGAGGAG